ATTCAAGGGTTACCTAGTACGGCTTTTTAATAAAGGAAATGAGGAGCCCATATATATGATATAGAGATATATAAATGGACACATGCTCTGATATACACGGGTACCCATGCTCTAGCACCGGACCAGGACGGGTTGTCTAGACGCGCGTAATGCGCCACATCCAATATCAGGCTTACTAGAGGAAAGTAGGACCATGTAGCATCATTTAGGGTTATATAGGATTATCTAGGATTGTCTAGCATTATGTAAAATTCTCTAGGATTTTCGAGATTATCTAGGGTTATGTAGGATTCTCTAGGATTCTGCACGGTCATGTAGGATTACGTAGGATTATCCAGCATTATCTTGGATCTTCAAGGATGAATACGATTATATAGGACTATATAGGATTATTGAGGTTTATATCGGGTTTATAAGGTCATTTGGGCTTCTGTGGGGGCAACGGAAGAGAAAGTCGAATCTACCAAGGGCTTCAGAGTCCAGATTGCGGCAGAAACCTAAAACATGAAGCTGAATCAAGCCATGAAAGCGTGGGCTTCACAAGTTTAATTCTTGAAGCTCAAAGCTCTAAACGCTAAACCCTAAACCCTGAACCCCTAAACCCTGAACCGCGTGGGATTAGGCAACCCTGTGCCTATGCCGTGAGACCCACACATGCATCCTACATGTTGACCATTGTTCCTCATCCTCTCCTGGTTGAGAGTCAGGGGTTATTATATGGGGCGGTCTAGGGTTTAGGATTTAGGGCTTAGGGCTCAGGGTGTAGGGTTTAGGGTTTAGGTATCATTTCCGCTTACCGTGCAGGTGGACACGCGGTTTCGGGACATGGGCTTCAGGGATCCTACTAGATCCTAGCAGCAAAGGGTGTTTAGTACTTGCAGGAGCGCCCTAAATCCTACACGCCATAATTCGGGAGCAAAGCACAAATCACGAGGAGGTTGTTCTACTTTAAAGGCCCTTGCAAAGGAGAGACCATTGGGAATACATTTCCTGAAGCGGGCATCCCAATCAAAAAGGAAAACCTACCTATGGCCAGTTTCGGGACGTGTATTTCGAACAAGTACCACCCCAGACATTAAACCATAAGCCCATATGGGGTATCGGTGTTTATAGTCCCCCTCAGGTAGATGGACTATGGCATCGGGTATCTTATAGCACGATCCCCATATACCCCATGTTCATCTACTTAAGGGGGACTATAGGGCTTTGGGGCTCAAAGTCCGACAGTTGAAGATGGTTCATGCAAGCCGCAGGTTCCCGATCTTGCCTCCATGCGCCTTGGCTGCAATCTGCCGTCTGTGTTGGCTACAATCTTACCTCTGGCTCGTAGGACCGATGGAGGAATGAGAAGAAAAATGGAAACTGGTGGGGTTTCTACCAGACTCCTATATGGATCCATTCGTAGAAGCCCGAATTGTTGCCAAGATTGCCCCTTGTGCACTGCATATGATGACAGCATAGAAAACTTCAAAGCAATATTTTTTGACGAACCCCAGTAATCAAGCAGGACCCCGATACCTCCTGTTTAGCCCTAAGCCTTATTCTCTGCGTTTCTCTAGGGTCTGTGAGATAAGCTCCTGAAAAAGGGTCCTAGGTGGTGCAAGACTTCCTCCATCCGCTGTGTGGGGTGCAGTTGGGGAGTTGCGTTTTCATTAAAGGTAAGTGGATTTTGTTCAAATTTGTCCACCTTCTAATAAGATATCTCGTGAATTTACAACTACATGGAATTGGTAGCTTATTTGGCGGTTTCAAACTGAGGGGGATGGCTTAAGCCTTAAGCCTGTAATATGGGTCCGTGAATTTAGGTTCATGTATGTGCGTGTACATAGATATGCTGCGTCACTGCTTCAGTTGTCACTGCTTTGGAGAACTGTTTCAGGCAAATGCCCACCTTAAAGCCGTATGCCCTACATTCAGATACTACCAACTGTAAGAAGTGTCTCTGAACAAAATCCTGCGTAACCCTACATACTCTAAGCCCTGGCGTGTTTGGCAGCACTGGAGGGTTTGGGGTCTACCCTACACCCTAAACCCCCAAACCCTAAACCCCCCCAAAAGAAAACCCAAACCCTAAACCCCAAACCCTAAACCCTAAACCCTAGGGTGTGTATAGTAGACTGGGGCTGGTGTGAGAGGCTTGGGGTTGGTCGTGGTAGACCTCGGGTTGGTGCCGTATACTTAGGATTTTGGGCTAGAGGTTGGTATGGGTAGGGTTTAGGGTTTAGGGTTTAGGGTTTAGGGTTTAGGGTCTGGGGTTTAGGGTTTGGGGTTTGGGGTTGAGACTGAGAGTCTGATGGCTTTTGTCCAGCGAGTGCCCTCATCAGAATCATCGTAGAGGGGTTTCAATCCTTATCAGTACTATGGTTCTAGAGTCCTTGTAACCTTAAGGTACTTCAAGTTGACCTCCAGACGATACAAGTCATATGTAGGTATCTACATTATACACCTCTCGAATGATGCCAGGGGCCCGGGACAAGAAGACATGGGCCCAAAGAAACTTTGTCATTCCTAAACTCCTTGCCCACTGCAAGCTATTACAGAAGATAGGATTAAATCAGAAGCAAAAAGAAAGTATATAGGAGAACGTAAGATGATATCGGATCATGTAGGTAGAGTTGGGCCGAACTACTGCTCATTAGGACTGTGTCTTCGATGGGATTTTTGCACAACACATATGCCGCCACATTCCTTGCAACCATTGACGCTGCTACTGTGCAGATACACTAGGGCCTCTCGAGCTACTATTCATCATTTCTACCGTAGCGCTCCGTTCGACTGTTTGGGAGACGTACTTACTTGGGGTGATGGAGACTAAGCGTCCAAACAGGTAGCCGTGAATTAGAGCCGGAAGAACTAGTTACTTCCCCGTCCTGCCTCATATCAAACACACCTCACCTGACACATGGACAAATCTTTCCTGCAACGCCACGTGCAATATCTACTGTTATGCGAGTGGGGGGCTTTACTGTTATGGGAGTGGGGAGCTTCAGTAAGAAGAGAAGCATCGCGCATAAGGGATCTTGATTTGAGGATGGGTGAAATCATTGGCAGGACTCCTGCCCATTACGTCACCGTGTCGGAGATCTTCATGGACTGGGATACCACATCACCGCTAGTCAACATGGGGGTGAGGAAGGGTATGAGTGATGCAGAGTAGGGGTATAACCCTACAGACCCTAAATCATAAACCCTAAACCCTAATCCCTAAATCCCTAAACCCTTAAACCCTAAATCCCTAAACCCTAAATCCCTTAGCGTTTATGATGGACATGCAGCTCTTTCAGCTTAATGTACATGTCGGAAAACTTTGTTTCAGACATCAAGAGAAGAAATCTTGACGGAAGCTTGCGCGAGTTGTGGGTTGGGTAGCTTTAAGTCGAACCCAGAGTCCTAGGTTGGGAAGGGTCTAGGTTGTAGGGGCTAGGGCGCAGGGCCGCAGGGGTTTAGGCCAGTCTGAAGGGAAGGTCACAAAATGGCAAGTTTTAGGGCTCCAAGAACCACCCAAGTAAACATGGTTTAGGGTTTAGGGTATTCTTGTTACAGTTATTATTACCATCACTACTGCCCAGCGGCCCCTTTGATTAAGAAGGACCGTACTCTTTGTTGTCACCAACTTTGGAAGCTTTGTTTGATGTTAGACGAAACCTTGAAGCCTCAGCTCCCTTGTAGGGGCCAGAAGTTTGTTTTAACACAAGCAGACAGATCCCGAGCAGAAGATTCCGCCATCCTTCATTTTGTGGTGTCTTGCTGGCTCTAATTTTTGAGAAGAGATCTTGCGGTACTAGAGGAGGAGGCTGGGCATGTAGAATATCAGCGGGCATGGCTAAAAAGAGTTGCCAACATGCTTATGCTGATCCTTGACAAGGAATTTTCTCCCAAATCGGTAGAACACATGTCCCACGAAAACGAGAACCTTGAAATTACGTTCCCCTGTGTTCAAAGCAGTGACTGGCAGCAGACTCCTGTTGAGTCGTAAACAGCAATCCCTGAGCGTTCGTGTAAACAGAACACCTGGATTTCTTGAATTTTTCCCAGATGAAATGAGATGCGCACACCAGGAGAGAGGGAAGTTTCCTGGTACCCAACAGAACGACAAGTTCTGCGTCAGGCGCGGCCAGTTCAAAGTCCACCTGAGTAGAACTCTTCAAGGAGGATACTATAGCATCGGATACAGAGTAAGATGACATACCGCTCCTGTTGAAGGCACTTCTTATCGAGGAAGATTATATCATCATTTGGGTTCCGGTAAATAAACGGGACAAAAAGTATTATACTTCGAACGCAGAAAATGCTATTACTCAACTGTGGCTTCCTCGGCTTTGCGATCGTAAAAACAGGTAGTGGGGCCACGTGGGAGTTTCTCAGCATATACTTACATCAGCAACAACACAAGGAACCTCATTTTTTTCCGAAGCCGAGTGGTTGACCGCGGAATAAACGTCTGAAAGTAGCGGCGAAGTGCTGGCAGCAAGGATGGCCATATTCACAGTAAGAATCGATGAGGTCGTACTTAGCAATATCAATAACTCTAACAAATGCATCGCACAGACAATAGGAACCGCAATAGCAAAGCAGCTGCGGCATCAATGTTTGACTTCTGGCGCTAGAGTGCTCGTTTGTGTGATAGTCTTTCCAACAAGGCCTTCGGCGCTAGCGGTTGTCATGTTGGTATTGTGATCATAACGTACTGGCCTTCAGTTAAGCAGAGAAAGCCCGCTAAGGCCTTAACCCCAAGCGCCAGGAAGCACTTACCAACCCCCTTCAACAACCGCCCACCGCCCCAACCCTTAAAGCAAATGCTGGCCTCCAACAAAGAGTACAAGGGCGGAGAGAGGGGTTCCTTCATGGGTTCCCATGACTCGTCTCTGGGATATTCTTCCCGAAAGCCTGAACGTTGAACCCTTCAACCGTAAATCCCTAGACCCATACCCCTTAAGGCCCTAACCCGTAGACCCCTCAAACCGCTAAATACCTGGAAACCCAAAACCCTAGTTGATAAGGTGCACTGGCCATCTGCTGACCAAGAAGGAGGGCAACTATAAGTTCTACCTCGCTTCGGATGATGGCACTTTCGTCGCAGTAGTAGGTAGGATGTTTAGTATCTCTGGTTTAGGGCTTAGGCTTTGGGATTTAAAGCTTGTTTAGGATTTGGGGCTCAGGGTTGAGTGTTTGGGGTTAGGGCTGAGGGTCAGGATATCGCCGCTGTGCAGATGGCGCGGGAAATCATGCGGACGATGAAGCAGAAACTGGGATGATGTAGGGCATCATCTCGAAATTGGGACACTATGGTCCCCAATGGAAAGTACGTTCTCTGTTTGGGTAGAGTCTTCTGTCAGAAGAATAGCTTCTTGCTTGGTTCAACCACCAAAAACTCTCCGGAAAAGGTGTGGACATCTACATTCCTATAAGCACTTGAGCCCCGAAAGGAGGTGCAGCTTGTACAGTTCAGTGCAAGAAACACCCGTACATATGTGTGTGTGTGTGTTTGGGGTTTATGGTTGAGGGGTTATAGGATTTCTTGGAAATATTATCCCTTCATAATCCTCGCATAACCACAGTGCAGTGTGCCCGTAAGCACTCTTTCCGAATATTTCGGCCCCTACGCGTACAACCTCCCTGGACTCTATGCAATTCTAGTATGCTTTGCCTCCAACCCTGCTCGAATGATATAAGCCCCAGCATAGCACCCGCCGCTCTTAACCATTCGCCAAACTGAGGCTCCCTGATGTACCTTGATGGCAAGAAGGTGGTAGACAACAACGGCTGCCACGGAGCAACTAGGCTGCTTTTCAGGATAAGTGTGGCTGCATCATCCTGCGGGTAATGCCATGACCCAAAAACTTTCTCAAGGCCTGGTCCCTTCAATCCATAGAAGCCAGGAGCAGGAGAGGCACAGCGACCAGAAGTTTCTGAAGCCCGGCTACCACAAGCTGGCGGTGGACATGTGCGAGCTTGGCGGAGGCGAGGTCCTAAAGATGCGATACGAAGGTCCAGACACCGACAACAAGAAGATCACCATCCCGAAAAAGGCCTTGAAGTATGAGGAGAAGAAGGCCGGACCTCATTCTTTCAGGTTGTGGTTTGGTGTGCTTTGGGCCTTGGAGACTTTGGGGAGTTTGCAGTTCCCTGTTGGGGTTTTGTGGGTTTGGTAGATTCAGGGCCTCCCACAAACACGAGCCGCAAGCATTGCTGTGCAGGAGCCAGAGTTTGCGAAGTTCAGAGACGGCCTTGTGGCTTGGTTTAGGAGCGAAAACGCCGCGAAGGCTTGG